TTCACCTGATCCAATTCCTTTTCGTGTCGCACAATCATTTGATGGCGTTGCATGAAGCACAACTCCTTTACATGCCGCTTGGACAGTTGATGGCGTTCGTGTAATTGCTTCTCTTCCAATTCCCAAAGTAACGCTTCGCGTGTACGCATGRCATTTTGCTTTTGTTGTAGGAAATTACGATTGATGGTGGCAAGATGATCGCGATGTTTTTCGCTTAAGCGTCGCAATAGCAATTCATGGCGTTCTTTGAGCGAATCGAGGAAGGCGCGCTCTTTCTCCTCATGATCGAGCTCCATGGCGGAACGACGTTGCTTGAATTCGTCCTTACGTTTATCTTTGGGCAGCAAGTCAACCTCTTGTTTTAGCAAACGGATTTCTTGTTTCAAATTCTCACGGAATATTTTCAATTCCTGTTCTTGATCGGAACGTATGCGTTTCGATGAGCTACGCAACTGTGAAAAGAAAAGAAAATTTAATTTTTTTAGAATTTTTAGCACGCCAAAATTAAAGAAAAGGTTTGTTGTGGCCACAGCAATYATCCTTGAAGGAATTTGGGATAATGCTGTTGTTCTTGTGGCGGTTGTCTGACCCYGCTTGGGTGGAAAGGTTCAGGTTGGGTTTAATCGAAGCCATCTAACGGTAGACCCAGGAAAAGTGCTGTTTCGAAGGGTCGGACCATAAGGAGAGGATGCTAGATGGGTAGGGATCTCTGAGCATGCAAAGAGGTGGTTAGAGTCAAGCGGGGACTCATTGTACAATGGACTTATATTTAGTATGTCAGAGTCAATTCTAGATAAGTAGKAGTTTATCCGSCTACTGTATCCAGAACGAAGTTGCGCAAAGGTCAYTTTAGATTCCATAGGCAACTCGAACACTTCGTCTGCAATGGGTGCTGTTTTGACTTCAAGTACGCCATTCACTGAGTTTGTGTGGTCGGCGTATTGTTTCATGTCACAAAGAAAGATCACTTGAAGTTCCTAGGAGGTGGGAGCCGATTGTAAGGCTGATTTCTGCGAAAACATCCAAGCAGAAATTTCCTGGAGAGGAGTTCATTATGTTAGTTGATGCGGACCTCGCTTTGCAATGATATCAAGAGGTTCGACATTARCGAGGAGAGGGCACCACGGTGAGGACCCAGTTGTCMGTCAGTCAAGCAAGTAACACAAAAAAGAACTTTACACTCACCTCACTCTCCTGTGCCTGCTCCGTGCGCTCAATCAACTGCTTCTGTTGCCGTGCCAATGTATCCATATCTGCTTCGTAGGTCTTCTCCAGCGAAATGCGCTCCTGTTCGAAACGACGATCCTGTTGCTCGCGCGCTATTTGCTCCTTCAATTGCAAATCGTTYTGCTGTTTCTTCTCCTGCTTTTGCAACATTTTCAATTCACGCAACTCTTGCTTACGGAACACATGATCATCGTATAGTCTGCCGGACTCCTCGTCACCGTATATAACACGACTTGTGGTGGTSGTCACCTGTACACCATCGATTTCGAATTTTCGCGTACGTTTTCGTGTCTTCTTACGTAAATTACGTAATTCGATTTCCTCTTTAGTCGGCCCAGTGGGAGCTGCTATCTTCGGCGCACCCTGTTTTCGTCGTATGACAACTTCCTCATCTTCGGGTATCTTCGTGCCCATTATGGGTGTCTCCGCCTCATTACGACTATCATGACTAGTTGTGGTGCCGATGCTCTCAACGTCACTCTGATCAACCGTTGCAATATTCAAGCCGACAGCGCGTCGTACCACACCGCCACTCGAACGCAACGAACCGCTATCGCTTAATGTACGCGAATCCATAGAACCCACGCTATTATCTGGTGACGGTCGTTTGCCGACACCAATGTCTTGTGGTGTATTACGATTTATGATAATATTTACATCTTCGGTCGATGTRCCTGCGATAATTTGGCCGTTTTGGTGGTTGTTGTTATTGTGATTCTTTATGAATGGTCGTTGATTATTCAGATTGTTGTTGTCGTTGYTGAGTGTCGTATCATATTGATCGGTATTTAGATGACTACTATCCTTGACCTTRATCTCATCGCCAACAGTCACAACAGACACGTGACTAGTGTCCATTAGATGTTCGCTGTGTTCGTGACTGCCGGTGGCTGTATTGTACGCAGAATCATCATCCACATACGATGGGCTAACTATTAGCACCTCACTTTCGTCTAATTTGCGCGCACGCGAACCTTTACCGTGTATGGACTGATTACTATCGGCGTTCATATCAGCCTTGTCCGTCTCCTCGGTGTTCTCCTCGCAAACGGCCACTATCATCGATGACTGACGGGGTGAAACCGGTGAATCGCCCAGACTGTCATCGAACGAAGTGAAATCATCATCAGTTGAAGATTCCGGCACATGTGTGCTCTTATTCAAATCATTCGAAACAATGATCACTTCACTTTGCGGCACTGCAGCCGATGCGGCAGCCGGCACTGAATTGTCAATTATGACCGGTGGATGCGTGCTGGTMACAACTCTTATCTGACTGACGCCAGCTTCCAAGCTATTGGGATGAACTATATTTTGTTGTTGCTGTTGTTGTTGTGCCTGATTGTTGAATGCACGAGTTGGCGTGCTGGTTGGCGAAGCCTCGCTATTTATGGTGATAAGCGAAGTGCTGGAGCTGAGCGTAGCACCACTCTTTACCGACGACGACGAAGCGGAATTCACCGAAACCGCTGCCGAAGATGTGGTCGGCGATGGTGGTGCTGGCACTTGCGCTTGCTCTTGTACAGCTTGTGCGGCAAGCGTTGTTTGTACATCGATTTCCACATTTTTGGTCAGCTCGATGGGCACCGTCATGGGCGCTAGCGGTGCTGGTGTACGTTCTTCGTTGCTGCGTTTCTCCGGCTCAGCGCGTGCAGTAGCAGTAGCCGCTGCGGGTATCGGTGCTTCGGTCGSCTTGGTGATTACAGCAGCAGTAGACGGTGGTGGTGGCGCTTTACCCTTCTCCTTTTTGGTGATCTGTTTATTGAAAAGSGAAAAAGTTTTGTAAGTAAAAGGTGTCTTAGTTAGGAAATGTATGCATTACTCACCTTCCTATCGGCGTCAACGCCTCTCTCAGGAAGACTATCAGCAGCTTCGTTGGCAGCGTTGGTAGCAACTGCTTGCTTACTGACCACTCCARCTGTTGAAAGCGTCTTATTACTCGTGTCATTATCTTTGGGCGCATTATTAACGCTAAATATTGGTTCATCCTCTTTGGCCCCCTTAGAAGATGGTGTTATATTATTTTCAAGAGTTTTTTGCAAAACAGGTGAAGCATWCTCTGCAGCTCCGCCTTGTTGTTGTGATAGTTTACTTTGTGGTATACTATTTGTTTGATTTGGTTCTTTAGAGTCCATAGATACTGATGTTGGGGTACCTGGAACTAAATAAATCGTATCATATGGCTAGGCTTGGCACAAGAACAACGAATGCGTGTGTGTATATGTGTATGTGTGTAAGTGTATAGAAAGTT